TTGAAGTTATATCTGCTGAAATTCTTCCACTTCTCCAAGTCATAAGCAATATAATGCTTGCAACAGGCAGAGAGCATAAGTCCATCATCATCCCCATGGTCATCGTCTCTCAACACCCTTCTTTCTCCAAACCCATGTCTAAGTTGACTACTACCTCTCACGGACTCACCCTGAAAACCCCTCACAAACTCAATAGCATAAGCTGAAACAACCATGGGATCCTCCCCGGGAGTCTCCTGACCCCGTCCCCACCTGGGGTCCCTAAAAATGTTAATATTGGGCGCCCAAAATGTCAACCCAGCTTGCCCAACATTGTACATGGCTCTCGCCTCAACTCCTATAGCCGATCCAATCTTGAACCACAGGCTCCTATTGAAAGAAGCGGTAATGACAATAACTTGTGGGAAAATTGTCGCTGCTCCAACAGTTCCATTAAAGGAAACCCCAGGGCCGTTCTTGGCAATCCCATGGAGAGACTCCGACCACCATTCATATGGAGGAATCCCAAGTCTTGGGACTCCAGAGGCATTGTTGGAGAGCTGCTGGATCTTCTCCCGGAGAGTAAGGAGGGAAACGAGAGAGTGAGCTCTGTCACTGATGGAAAGAGAGGTATTGCAAAATGGGTAGGCGCTAAACTGAGGTGGCTTGCACGGGAATTCTGGGTTTTTAGCAGATGATGAAATTGAAGCGGTCAGCGTGAGAAGCAGAAGGAGGGAGATCGCCGGGGAGGTTTGCCGGCGGAACATGTCCACGTGGGTAGTTGGGAGGTGTGTTTACTTCGTAGTTATTCAGTCGGATCGGATGGAGAGACTAGACTATTGGTCAGGAGTATTTTATAATTTTGCATAATTTAGATAACATAGACCATGAGATGAAGGATTGATATCTGACTTTCTGGACCTCAGGCTCCGAGTTAGTAACCAAGACTTCTTATGTAATGGGAATTACTTATTGGGGACTGATTTTCAAACATTATAAATCTCTTTTTTCCTTCTTCAAATTACCTTGTTTAGAAAAAAATATATATCTAACTTCCCGCCAATTACCCGTGCGTGTGACTCAAATCGTCACACTTCTTTTTAACAAGAGAAGCAAAGTAACGATATCTTTGTAATGTGAAGTTTTAAGTTTTAGATTTGATGTTTCCTTATTTTTAAAAATAAGTATTAATATTATTTGTACAATTATCACTTTTGAAACAAAAAAATTTTTTGACTTCCCAATCATCTTGTTTGCACTCGGAACAAATGAGAATTACAAAAATAAAAAACTTCATAATTATTCGTAAAAGTGTTTCAAAATTGAGAATCACTCATTATTGAAATTAATAGGGGCATATTTGAGTGAATTTTTTGTTTAACGACTGATATTTTGAATGGAGTGCATCCTGCATATTGCATGGTATAAAGGACGACTATTAATTATTAATTTAATTGGAGCTCTCACAACATGGCTTCTTGGAGGAGTTACTAGCTCCAAGAAGAGACAGTTGGACAACTTTTTACCACTGGGGTGACTGAGTTCCTCCCTAATGGATGGAACTTTGTTTCTTTTGATGACAACCCAACTTTGGCTGGACCAAATCCTTCATTTTTAGGATTCTCTGTGCCATCAGAGCCTGGCTTTGAATGTCCTTTTACTAATCATCCTTATGCTCTTATTGATGGATTCTCTGTGCCAACATGAAAGCATGTTGCTGAAGATAGGAAATTTAGTAGTGCCAGGAATGACGCTCCATTTCAACCTCAAGAAGACTACCCGTCAATGGTGGATAATGAAGAGCTTGGTTTCCTCAGCGGTGATCATCATCACAATTTGGAAGAGAGAAGTGGTAACCGCAATGTTCAGGTGGAGCAAATCAACAAATTTCAAGTTCCCAATGGGCATGTGTGGAGAGAGAAAGACTAAGTCAAAGAGATTAGAAGGGCAGCCCTCAGAGAATATGATGGCAAAGAGAAGGAGAAGGAAGCGACTAAAAGATCGCCTCTCAATGCTCAGACCCATAGTTCCTAAGATTAGCAAGGGGATTCTCCTTTTTTTTTCATTTGTTGAAACTCTCATTTTTAGCTAAATAGAACAATGAAATTTATAAAGGGATGACAATATTAGCAGATAGACAGAACATCTATACTCGGAGACACCATCGATTACAAGAAAGAACTTCTTGAAAGGATTAATAAACAGCAACAGGAAGCGACCAAACTCAGTTCATATCAAATGAACTTAGTTGGAATCTTAAGGAAGGAGCTAAAGCCAGATGAAGTGATGGTCAGAAACACCGCCAAGGTGAGGTTTTCTCTCTA